TGTTCGCGCGTGCAAATTTTTGCAAGGCGAAATGTCTTAAGTAATTGTTGTACGTCAATAACGGGCGCAAATTTAAGTCAAGGATAACGGATGGCATAATTACAGCAAGCATGTAAGTGTGTACGCATTATTTGTGTACGTGTTTCGATCATCAGAAAATTAATCCCTTGGGTATATTTGCTTACGAACGACTGCATACCTACTTGATGCATGCGTACTATTTCCTATTTATTTCTTTCAAAACCCCCTCCGCCTGCAGACGGGCATCCATGTCGTGGTGAACTCGACAATCCTGTTGCTGCAATAATTGAAAGTGTGTTTCAAGTGCTCGATGGACATGTGTGTATTAGGTCTTACGGTATAACCATAATTATATGAATGTCATACTGATCGATGAGTAAGTACATGAGTCGCGTATGTCGCAGCATACTTAGCGTCAGCTGGTTAGCGTTTCGGGGCGGCGCTAACTTTCTTCCAAGATGTCGGGCGGTACATGTTATCAGCTGTGCATGGACATGTTATATCAGTGATGAAATGTACCCAAATGATGTCACCGGTGAATTTGCTGCCAATGATTGCCTGAAATGAATGCTGTGACTTGCTGCCACCGAGACAATAAGTCGACATTTACGGTAGGCCACGGACCTTCTCGGACACGATCTTAATCTTGATCATGTTTCACCTTATTTAACCCATAGGTCACAACCTAGATACCTAACAAATTCATATGCATCAGTTTATATGGAGCCTTACCTACCGCCTGAATGTAATGTTTTAGCTGTCTAGCTACGGCCTCAACCACTCCAATGGTTTCTTGGATCAATAATCCATTGGGTACTGTGGCAAAACACGGCACTTGGAAACTTTGCTCATAGTCAGATCTCTTCGAAGAGGCCAGATATCAGCAATAGTTGTTTCGCCATGGAAGACACCGCTCAGAATGTTTTGATTATATTCCTTAATACCCTTTTTAGCACAACTAGGTGGAGGACATGCTACCAAACCGTCCTTTATACCGCCCCGTTACGAAATGTAATCAAGAGCACGCCCCGAGACCTCAGTTGGTTACAGTGCCTGGTCTTCGGTTTACCTGCCCGGTTTGAGTCTTTCTAGGCGTTTGCTATGTGCTCCTGACCGGATAGCCTGCGGTCGGTGGCAGCGGCCGCACTAACGGCTAGGCAATGTCAGAGAGCGGGGCGGGGCCGTGCCGAGCATTGCGGCACGTTAGCTTTGGCCCCGGAACGCCGCTGTTGACCCGGGGCTTTGCGATCGGATAGTGGGGGTCAGAGCTCAGAGCAGCAAGCAGTTCTTAGCGTGGGTGCTCACCGCATGAATACTTCAAATCAAGACGTTCGGACTAGTCTAAAAAAATATCATGGCCGCCTGCATCACAGCACATCACAATGCGGCTTACCCCCTCCCCCCGCCATTAAGAAAACAGTTCTTATATCACAGATGCCAAGAGCGGTGCCTGTTTCTTCTGCTCCTCAGTCGTGTGAGCGTAGCGTACGTACGTACGTAGCGAGCGTACCCAAAACATCCCTTCTTATCCGTGAGCACAGATGCCTGGAACGCTGAGCGGGGTCTCCCGAATGCACCGGAAGTTTGTGGCTTAATAAAAAACAATATCAGACACACAAGTAAGTCGTGAAAGATTGCAAAAAATATGCTCTGTCTATAGGAAGATACTGTTCATACCATGTGGCCCAGCTAAAACCTGTACATGTTTTATTCTACAAGCAATTTTTTTTTTTGCACAAACAAGCGTGTGGTGACATCCTAGCCCTCCTTGTGCCGCGGGTGCTCCGTAAACGGCGCGGGGCAGCTGCGGAGAGTGAAGGGAGCATACACAATGATGGAAGAAGATCGGTGCCCGGCTCCGGTGGTTCTCTGACTGACAGCGGACTCCAGGTCTTGCGCGTTGGTGGTGATGCGGTCCAGGAGTGAGTCAGTTGGCATGAGGCGTGTCGGTGTTGGATCAGGTCTCTGACAGCACCACTGATAGGCGTCCCTGATAGCACCGCAACAAAATAAAACCCAGGAGCATTACTGATAGGTGTCCCTGATAGCACCACAACAAAATAAAACCCAGGATCATCTATCCGAGGTGAGGTTTCGTCGTACTTTATGCAACCGTGCGTAAAAGTGTCCCCATTAGAAATACACGGCACGGAACATGTATAATCATATGGACCAGTAATAACTGAGAATGTAAGAAAGTGAAAGATACCAATGATCAACGTTACCAAGATTACATTGTATTTCAGTTTGAGATAAGACAGTAGTGATAGGTTTATTCTTCAGAGAAAGCCCACGAGAATGGAGATATAGTAGGGTTGATATTTCGACAGCATGCCTTTATCTAAGCAATAGCAGGAGTGAATTCAAAATTGCCTGCCCATGATCCTGCTCGATTTTTCAGTTTGTTTTTAAACGATAAGCCACAGTTTTTAAAGGACATCAACATTCAGGGGATAAAACAAAGAGCGCGATTGGCAGCCATTTCCACGATATAGTGCGTATCTAAGAATTAGAATACGCGAACATACGTGTACATGCAAAATAATTCAAGTCCATAGGCATCACGCATCACACTTCATTAAAAAATGCAAGCGAGTTAAAGTAAACAGACATCACGCATCGTGCATCAATTACACATGCAAGTGATTTCAATTGAACAGGCATCGCATATCACGCGTCAGGCATCACTTGCACATGTAAACGACTTAAAGGCAGCACACATCACACATAAAGGCACATATCACCTTGTAGTCACATGTAGACTGTATGAAAGACATGGGAGGGACATAGTCTTTGTCGGGGAGGCCATGCATGCGCCATATTCGTTTGAGATGTAGTGAACACCTGGCAGACGCTAAAAACAAAACAGGGAATACCTCATTCGGGAACCATTTTTTTTCTTTTTGGCAAAACACGCGCTCGGGCTGAAATCGAGGGAAGTATGGACCCATGCTCCTTTAGAACTCGAAGTCATCTACAGAGCACAGGATCATCCAGTCAGGAAAGTAAGTGAATCTATTCTTATAACAACGGCGACTTAATCTTGACGTACAGGGTTCACCATGACCGGTTATGCGAACATAATATGCGCCTTTATGTGTGATGTGTGCTATCTTAACGTTGTTTTCATGTGAAAGTGATGCCTGACGCGTGATGTGCGATGCCTGTTCAATCGAAATCGCTTGCAGGTATAATTGATGCGCGATGCGCGATGCCTGTTTATTTCAACTCGCTTGCGTGTTTGAATGAAGCGTGATGCGTGATGCTTATTTGCTTAAATTCGTTTGTATGTACACGTATGTTCGCGATTTCTAATTCTTAGATGGGCACTTCATCGTGGTAATGGCTGAAAATTGCTGTTTGTTTAATCCCCCGGATGTTGGTGTCCTGTAAAAATTGTGGCTTGCTGTTTCAAAAAAGCCTGAAAGATCGAGTTGAATCATCGGCAGGCAATTTTGAATTCACTTTTGCTATTGTTTCGATAAAGTTATGTTGCCGAAATATCAACCCAGCTATATTTCCATTCTCCTGGTTTTTCTCCGAGGAATAAGGCTATTGCTACTGTTTTATCTGTGTGGATGATATGCCTCATTAATACACTGAACAACTCACGTATTTCAGCTTTTACGTCCCGTCATAATGCATCACCATGTGGCTTTAGGTCCTCCGGCAGGCACATTTCTCAATATCATAGCGATTGAAATTCATGGCGCCTCGATTCGTGACATGCCCTTTCCCAAGCGAAATGGCCACGTTCCAACCGAAGCTGGTTTTGCCAAGATGGATCTCAGTAACCACAATGCCAATGTCGATGCAATGCCGTTTATTCCATGAAACTAGCGCTGTTGGGTCAGTGACCGCGTTTCCCCAATGGCTTTGTCAATAGCTTGCCGTAGGTCTTGATGTATCACAGCAGTGTGTAAAGTTAACTTGGCTTCCGATGATTTCCATGTACGATAAATTGCTCTGTGCATGACATTTTTGGGTGACATCTATGATTCTACTCCTAGCATGATATTTTAAAACGATAATTTTCGCAACAGGTGGTGCGCGATGGCAACGACAAATGGCAGTCTCGCACGATGTCCAGAATTAATTAGGGCGAACTGAAAACTTGCCCCTGATACGGCTCTGGTCTAGTAGGGGAATCCCATTTTCAGAGCCGGCCTTTTTCTGTGAATCGATGATTTTGTTATGCTTTAGGTATGTATTTTGTCATGCTTTGCTCAGGCACGAAAAGCCCCTTCGCCACTTCCGGACCCTCGAGCAGGCAGGGGCTTATTTTCACAGCCCAACGAGCGCAGTGGGTAGGTCCGACGGAGCTGCAAGCACAGGAACCGCAGCTCACTGCCCACGGGATCACGCCAACCACAGGAGGCATGGTCACTGGCCTTATCAGTACGCAGGCCCCTCCAACTTGTATTAAGAGAGCACAACATGCGGGACAACTTCCGATCGCTTACTTAGCCAACGATGGTGTCAACAGAGGCGTAATCACGCAAAGTACGTCGGGGAAGAGTGGCTGAGCAAGAGGAAATGACTAGCCTTCCTTCCAAATGCGCCAAAAGCGCGTTTCTCCCCAACTTTGACCCACTTTCTTCTCCAAGCTAGGATCCGGAATGCCGGCGACTGAAAAGGTAACCTCGCCCCGGATGACCTGATGACCAGTACAAATCCGCAAAGCCTGTAAAAACAGTGAGTTAGAGGTGAGTGGAGTCCACTTTCGGCACCGAGCTCCCTGAATTTTTCCCTTCACCTCTACACCAGAGCGCACCACCCATGCACAACCATCCTTGCGCTTACACAATTAGAATCGGCGCATTTGCATCACGCGCTCGCCGTGCGAAACCGCCGCCCGAGGCGCGTTGGCCGGCAGCGGCCGGGCCGGCCGGCCGGCTGCGCGCGGGCCGCCTTTCCGGGGCGCCGGTGAACGCGGGCGGCCATGATCGACGCAGCCGAGCCGGCCGGCCGGACAAAAGCCGGGAGTCTGTGCGGCCGCGCCGCGAGAAGCCGGAGGCAGCGCCGGTTCGTCCACACCGCACGCCCAGCCTTCTCCCGTGAGTACCGCGCGTCGCGCTGCTGCTGCTCTGCAGCCGTGGTCTCGGCACTAGGTGGGGTGGGGCGAGCTGTGGTGTGTGTGAGGGCCTGGTTCCCGCGGGCTGCCACCGCCGACGGCCGGCCGGGGCGCGCACCACGGCCGCCGCCTGTGCCCAGCGAGCGCGGTGGGGTCTCGCCCCTGCCCCAGCCAGCCACTGCGGCGGTGCGGTACAGCGGGGCTTGCGCGAGAGCAGCGTTCAAGCGACGCCAGTGCCCGCTCGTCCGGCCGCGCGGCCGATTTTTTGTCGCCTGTGGTGACACGTCACGTGACCTTCGAATGGTAGGCGGCGGGCGGGACTCCCCATTATCCTATGGGGCTTTGTCCAGTTGGTAAAGTGTGGCCGCCTGGCGACGCCACCGCTCCGATAGGATTGGATCGGGCCGCGAAGAGAGGCGGCCGTCTGTGGAACGGCTCAAATTCAATCGATCTGCAGAACGCGAGTGGAGCGATGGGTTTTTCCTCATCTTGGAGGCGCTCAAAGTTCGAAAATGGAAGGAGATTGTACCAATGCCTCGTGAAGTTTCTGACATAAAAGAGCTGCTCCGGTCTAGGATGTGTATCCCTGACGAGTACACACCTGAATCTAAATCCGATTCTGGTGAGTGTGATTGGAAAATGAGGCAACCAGTATGGGAAAGTAGACGGAACCTCTGTGGCCTGGGGCGTTCGCCCCTCGGGCTAAGTGAGCATTGTGCTAGTTTGACACACACACACACCGTGTTTTCATGGTTCTTTTCTAACAACTGGACACGCACGACGTAAAGGCATGTAACTTGTCGGTCATTCATATAAATGTTTCTGATGTGCTTCAGCATTTACGGTTAATAAGCAATCGTGTGATGCTTTGTGCGATAAGTCTGTGGCAATTTGGCTGCTGAAGCTTGCCATCACTTTAAGGACGCTGTATGTTTCATACAACATTAACTTGGCCATCATCAGTTGCGCCACTTTTCTGAATGTGTCGATATGGATGCCTTGACCTCGCCAATGCACGGTGTACATTTTCTGCAGAGTGACGCTCCTCGCCAGCTAAAAATGTTCGGACTTGGATTGACCATCCCCTCCCCCCGCCCCCTCCTCCTTCCCTTCCAAACGTCTTGCTGTTGATAGGCATGCACGTTTCCAGTAAACTTCCAACAATTCGCAGCTAGCACGAGAAGGCTACATTTTTCGAGAGACATCCATTATCCAGTTATGCGTTACGATGGAAGTCGGTTGGAAAGATTCCTTCTTAAGCGGTTAGTATGTGTCTCCTGGACTTTACTTCTGGTCTAACTGCCTCTGGTCTACCACCAGAGGCAGTAAGACCAGAAGTTAGCCACTTTTCTATACACATTAGCTTATATTCACATGGGCAATTTCCCAGCCTCTCACGGTGACTCCCGACAGATTCAGGGCTGAGAGTGGTACCCGGACAGATTCAGGGCTGAGAGTGGTACCCGGACAGATTCAGGGCTGAGAGCGGTACCCAGACAGATTCAGGGCTGAGAGTGGTACCCAGACAGATTCAGGGCTGAGAGTGGTACCCGGACAGATTCAGGGCTGAGAGTGGTACCCAGACAGATTCAGGGTTGAGAGTGGTACCCAGACAGATTCAGGGCTGAGAGTGGTACCCAGACAGATTCAGGGCTGAGAGTGGTACCCAGTGGCCACTAGCCACGCCCGTGTTCCGCCTCTACCACACAGCTGAGTGAATTGTTGGCGGTCATTTGTGGCTCCAGTTTTTATTGGTAACATTTCAAGGACTATAGGCAGCGTCAGGACCATCCAGACCGAGGACAGTTACCAACGAGCATGATATCTCACCCGTGATCCACAGGATTTGGTGTCAGAAGAATGGAAAAAGTGCGTTGGGGACGCAAAATGACATCCCCGGAGCATTCTGAAACACCAGAAGGGTGCGCCAGATGCGGTTAGGAGTTCATGATCGAAATGCTTAATGACCGCCAGGTGTCCTGAAGCGCAAGGTCAATCTCTTAAAACTAAAAAAAGTATCGTCCGGCCTTGAAAGCGGCTGGCTTTATCGGAAAAATTATAACTTGTTTTCCCTTGTTGGCGATGTGTGCGTTTGTGCAAATTGAACCCTTCAAGTCATATATGTAGAATATGTGATAGCAGTCACTCGCCCTTCGCTCCACTAAGGCCTTTGGATTATAGACTACAAGCTCCGAAAATCTCTAGTTTTCTGATGGTCCTAACGGTATTGATGACGTGTGTTCAAATGCGTCCAAAAGACCCGATGCAATGTCCGTAAAAAACGTTGACGGTCATCTTGGAAGGCACCAAAATAAATGAACTGCATTAGTGCCCGCAAAAACACAACCAGTAGTCACTCTGAGTTGCATTTGATTTATATTCGCAACAGCGGCACTTGTTTCATATGAGGACACAACTGTTCCCAGCACTGTATCCCGCAGCCGGCCCCATCCCGGTGATACCGGGCTCAGGGCTGCCGAAGCTCTGCGTGACACGATCGGAACCCAGCCTGAACCTGCACGCTTCATTTTGAGCACGCGAGGCGTCAGAAACGGTAACACATTCCATTGGGAGCGAGTCACAAGAGGCAAAATGAATTTCAGCTATACGGTTGGTCAGGTAGACAGATACTCAGCAGTGTACGCAAGATGAGATGAGGGTATTCAACCGTAAGTCGTTCACGCAGATGTCACTGATATCATAGCATAACGACGTTCACTCACTGTGTTAAAGCGATACGAATGCCTGTTAAAAACTCACTGCAAGATGGAGACAGAAAAAGTATAAAAAACGAGCTAAACGCCGCCACCAGAAAAAAGTGTGTCAAAGTACGTGCCAGGTGTGGGATAGTAAATTATCAGTAACCTTCAATCTCTTCCTTGACCTCGGATCAAAGCAGCATTAGCAGCCATCGCGGGTGAAATTTTGTGCTACTCAGGTTTGTGCAAAAATTATATTTGAGAGTGGAGCTACTGGCAAACTAGCAGTACTTTGATGCCCTGGCACCAGTTATCATGCCCGTAGTTTGCTATTTTTTACCCGTGTCCGAACATATACCGTTGTTTTTCTTAATTTTGTTTCCAGCCCGAGAATATACCCGTCTGGTTTGAGTGCGCGTGGTTTTACCGGGACCACGAAAGTCTGTATGCAGTATGAAACAGTACAGAGTGTTTAACGTGCCTATAGCATCCACAGGGGCCCGAGCCTTGTCCTGTGACATGTCCGTAAAAAGCTTATCAATTAAAAGTATCCAAACCAGGGTTTATACATCTCAGTTTTACTGTGTTGAGGAAGGCACCACAGATAAGTGTGGCATCGCACGCCAAAGCTTACACGGCTTATTTCCCAATACCACGTAGGGGTCCTCAAAGCGCGATGAAGAGCGCTATGAGGACCTCTACGTGGTATTGGGAATAAGCTGCGTAAGTGTTCTGTCGCAAAAGATATGCATAAAATATGACGTCATAAAAATACTGAACTAGAGCCCTCTCCCAATTTATCAACTTAGCAACCACGGACAGACCGTACACGAAATAAGTCGGTTAAATATTCATCTTGAAAAACATTCGGTGCAGCTGGCATCCCTGCCCATCTTAAGACCTAGGCCCATCTAGCTTCTGAGCTACACGCCCGCAAAGATGTGCGAACTCTTTCGAGAGGACTAGTTCAAGGTCATCCAGGCATCCGTGACGCAATACTTATGCCATTCAAATACTGTCATTCCATTAGCCATGCGGCGAACAAAGCAAATACACATATAATTGTCGAGCCGTTCATATCTGGCGTCCGTGAGCATGATTTCCAGATATAACGGCCGTCAGTTGGCTCTCAATCATTGTCGAACAAGGAACGTCGGTGTGATCAAACAGTGAGATATTGAGAGACGTATTTACTTAACGGAGAAATTATGTTTCTTTATCTTTCTAAGTATTTAATATCTACAACTGTGGAACATTCCCTTTAAGTGGGCTCTATTGATGCACATTATGCTCGCATCTGGCCTTGTTACTATGCTGGCCTGTTTTCTGTGACAGTAAGTTTACTTCCCAATTTCGGATGTTTCATTGGCAACTTTAGTTTACTGGTCTTTGTGCGTGCTTCTATATTATTATTCAAACTTTTCTTGAGTGGAGGCCCATTGACTCCGCATCAGATTCCATGAGATTCATGACATGATGAGTCCGAGCTCGAGTACGTCAGCCCCTTTTTTCAAAGTATGTGTCATTGATCTAAAATACTGACCACCATTATGTGGATGCAGAGTCCTAGCCCCGCACGGTCATGAGTCCGCAATCGGTCCCGAGTCCAGTGAGACCCGCACCCATATGTCGGCCTACGGCTCATCAATAGTCATGTTTAACAGCTACCTGCCCGCTGAGACGCGTGGAGAAGCGTACCCCGCGCGTTTGAACGTGTGCTCCGCGCGCTGGGAGCGTACCCCGCGCGCTGGAAGCTTACCCCGCGCGCTGGGAAGCGTACCCCTCGCGTTGGCAAGCATGCTCCGTGCGCTGGGAAGCTTACCCCGCGCGCTGGGAACGTACCCCGCGCGTTGGGAAGCATGCTATGCGCGCTGGAAAGCGTACCCCGCGCGCCGCGAAGCGTCCTCCGCGCGTTGGCGAGCGTGCTCCGTGCGCTGGGAAGCGTACCCCGCGTGCTGGAAAGCGTGTCCTGCGCTCGGAGTCACAGCAGCTGGCGGGCCAAGCTGAGCCGAGAGGCCAAGCAAAGGACAAAAACGCTCGACTGACAAAACATTCGACAGGCAAAAACGTTTGGCTGACAGGAACAGTCGACTTTTTATAAAGTGTGACTTGCTTGCCCGACACTGGTACCGAGCAGTATTTCAGAAAATGCTTAGTGTGGCCGGTACCAGATGACCCGTAATAAATTGTATGCTGAGACCTCCAGTAACGCTTTGCGCTTGTATTATGAAATGCTACCAGCGACAAATGGTGGTTTTGTTTTCCAATTGCACACCTGTGAACT